CTCCCGCGCAGTCGGGGCATATTAAGCATATAACAAGCACAAGAGTTGCGGCAAGAAGGCGGCATCTAGCTGCGTCGCCACTGCAGTGGAATTGAGGCTTGCCAGCGACAGGACAGAGCTTCCACAGGCAAAATGACTCGGAAGTGTTCTTGACGAAAAAATCTGGCGATGTCACTCTGTTACTCGGAGCATGTAGCGCAAGGGGGTTGTGATACTACGTCGCTACCCATGCCTTCCTCGACACAGGCAAGGTTGACCATGTAGCTCATTCGGGCCTCGACGCCGACAGCACTGCGACGCTGGGTCTCAGAGTGGCGAAGCCCAATGACCTAGTCAGCACGCCCGTCAAAGTCTGAGGTGCTGGTTCACCCTCAGTCTCCGTCAAACACTCAGCCGATGCACCTGCATGACGCTTTGCTTCGCTTGCATCGCGCTAATGACCTCCAGCTGCACATGTTGCACCAGAAGATCAACTCACTCACATCGAAAAGGCTTGACACCCCGTGATCTGCGCCTCGTCCACGATGTCTGCAGAGTCTGATGCCACAAAAAGCCTTTGCGAGGCATCTCCTTTGATGCGACCTTCTCCCTTTGATACTGCAAGACACAAGCCTATGGTGCATGCTGAGACCCGGTCTGGCACAATTCTGCCCTGCAGAGCTGCAGCTCGTCTGCTGCACGCAGGACCTGCAAGGGTCGATTTGCGACAAGCAGCCCCCAACAAAAAGTCTGTACGAGGCGCCTCGGAGACATAGTCCTCAACCGCATGATACCGGTTGAAAGGGTTCGTGACCTAAGGTTGCAAAGAGGGCCGCAGAATGCCGCAGAACGTGCGAATGCAAAGCCAGGCACCTGGCTTTGTCTCCGCGGCGAACATGCAGGGCGAGCAAGGACGATGCAGCACCTGCCGGGCGATAGCAGCCAGGACGGGCCCAAAAATCTTTTCGAAGCGCACCTTGCTGACCTTGCTGCAATTGCATCCTGGGACTGGGACCAAAGCGGGAGCAAGGCATACATTCACGTTCTGCGGGCTCGGCTGAAAGCGCTCGAAGAATTCCAAAATCAAGCCGCTGGGCTGCCAGAGTGCCGCCTGCCAGAGGGTCATTGCATCTGCTGCACAGGCTACACAGAGACGCTTTCGCACGTTGCACTCCCACCTGCATCGAGCCTGCAGACAGCATCCTGATTCTGGATTGCCTGGCAGCGGTCCTTGCTAGCCTCCGGAAGCTTCGTGGCATCTCCTGCGCACATGGCGGGCCATGGCGAGCCCATCTCTGAAACCTCCACCATGTGCTGCCTTGACACGACTCTGCGACCCGACCTTGAACAAGCACGCCCATCCACCCTGACGAAACTGCACCTGGACATGGCTGCAACATGACTCCGCTTAGGTCGGTCATGTGGACGGTTGCGCAGAGCCCACTCGGATTTGTTATATTTTATGCGAAGCACCGAGCAGGCCTCACCAAGAAATGCAAGGCCTTGGGATTGCAAGATCTCACATGAAACTGCTCAAACTCGTCAAGTCTAGGTCAAGGCCGGAGCATTTCGAGTTGTTGGTGTATCTTCCCATATGCTCGAAGAATTCTGCATGTTTGCCAAAGTGCATCGCCTTGACCTCAGGCAGCTACGCGTGGAGAACAGCTGGTATCGGCAGAATTCCTGTCTCGCGAAATACGGCTGTAGTTGAATTCACACTGCATGCTAAGCGGCGGCTCTTGCCACGGCCATCTGCAGTTTGGAGCCGAAGCCACCTCCAATGCCGATTGAAACCTTGCGCACCTCCGGGGCGGACTTCGATTTCTATCATCCTCTCACCGTTGCACCGCTGCGGAACCTCCCACGGAGATGTTGGCAAGGTTCTCAAAATATGCCTGCAAGGCAGGAAATCCTCGAAACATTCTGGGGGTGGCAGAACGGTTCGCATAGATCCCGCACCGAGTGCATGGCCGAATGCGTGCATCTTTCAGATTTGAGGCCAGGCTTCCCCTGGCCGAAGCCGAACTGGCCTCCCAAGTCTCGGATCCACACCACGCCTGAAGACTCCTGAGGGTTTTGACCTCTGCGCCATCGGCACGGCAGGCGCTCGGAGATTTGCAGGACAATGTTGCGTCCTGCCGGCACAGATGCAGCACGGCTCGCCGTCCGTGACAAGGGCAGACTTCAATCAGCAAGCTGAGCAGAAGGCACACCAGTCTTCATCTTCCGGACAGCCACAACCTTTCGCTGAAAAGGTATTCCAGGTCGCAGTGGAAAGCTTCCGTCCTGCCTGGCAAGGGCGGCTGCTCTTTCCGGAAGCCCTTCGCGATGGACAAGAGAGTCTCCTGGCCACGGCCCAGGAGAAAAGACCGCTTCTGACCCGGCTTTGCTGGGCCCGGGCCTGCTGCCAGTGTTCCAAATGCAGTCTGCCTGGGCCTCACGGCTCAGCAAGGAAGCACGGCAGCACGCAATCTGATGAGGCCGACGCCGTCGAGGCGAAAGCGCTCCCATGTTCCGGGGCGGTGGATGCCAAGCAGCTTGTGACCTCAACTGCCGGCACAAAGCAGAAGATTGTCCTGAGCATGCCTGAGGAGCTGTGGCGAGAAGGCCCAAGGAGGAATCGGTGACATTGCTGAATCCGGTAATGTTACTTTGAGGAGAAAGCGTCCAAACTCAGCCGGGAAACTGAACCTTCCAGCTTCAACAGCCTAAGATCTCGGGTCAGCTTCGCACTTTACATCACTGACTTGTGCCGGCGGCCCCGCCTGGAGGACGCTGATGCCAGGGCCATCAGTGCGTGTTGCTCGCACCTGAGCTTGGCTCCGCTTCAGGCTGCATGCTTCCGCTACTCCGCCAGCCGCCTCTCCCTTCTCTGAAACTTCGTAGGTGGTTCGAAAGCCATTGTGATAGAAGATGTCCTGGCCACGTCGGGCGGCGAGCACAGCGGTCAAAGAGCGCAGTGATCAAAGCAGTCAGCGCGGTCCCATGTCCCGGCAACATCTGCAAACTCTGCATGCGCAGAGTGCCAGTGGCCCGCTGCCCGCATAGCCCTGACCTTCCCATGAATCGAGGTCAAGTTGAAGCTCAAAGAGTTGTTGGGCCTGTGACGATCCTGTAAACTGCTCGTAGCTGGCCACAGCACCTTCGTGGAAGGAGACGTTTACCTCAGATCCGGTGCGCTGATATGCACTGTATGCGAAGTCGGGGAAATCTCCCTCAACCTGAGTTGCCGGCGCCAGCATTGACGCCGAGCTTCAATACCATATGGAAAGTCACGGATTCCTACTGACGGAAGGACAACGGCCCACTGGGCAAACTCCTGTTGCCTGCCTCCGCCAAACTACCCAGACCCAGAAGAGAGAACTTCGCCATGCGCTCGTAGACCTCTTAAGATTGGAACTTCAGAGGCAACGATGCCGCGAAGTCACTACGACTAGCCTCCTCCAGGAGTGCTAGCAGGCTTGGCACGGGCCGCCTGCAAATCGGGGGCGGCCGCACAGAGAGCGCCCATTTCGTTTGCAGGAGCTAAGGACGGGGCAGCCACACCGCCGCCAGCATCTTACTTGGCGCGCGCCAGCCGAAGACATTGCCCCACTTGTCCTCTTCTTGCCGACTTCCAACGACCACGACGTCTGAGCCCCTGTGCCAGCCTCAGTAACACAAGATGGCGCGGAGATAATGATGTCTCTCGGACGAACGATGTCAGCCCCGGAACGCAAGAGATTTAAGCGTCAAAGTGTGATGCAACGGCCGAAACTATGAGTTTCTCGTAAAATCACGAACCTCTATAAGTCGAACCACGTGAGCCGAAAAGTGGACCCCTCCAGTCTGCAGGACCCAGTGCTACGGCGCCTAGTTAGGAGTCTAGGGAAATCCACTGATGAAGGCTCTCTTGAGGCTCCTGCGCCCCTGCAGCGGTTGCAGCAGCACGGTGTCCAAAGCCAGATAGAAAAATCTCCAGCTTGGCAAGGCCTGGAATGGGCAAACGATGGAGGATCAGACCCCGAATATGACCGCTTGCGCTTGGACTCTCGAAAAAGCCTTGAGAAGCCGCACCAGCAGCCAAGAACGAGTCTTTGAGCTGCTCTCGCCTGAGCGCAAGTTGGATGTGGAGGTGTCCAGACTGAAGAAACGTTTAGCCTGCAGGGGCGGCCAAGCCGGCCAGCTCGCCGAGCTTCTGATCCTTGCAGATCGTCGAATGTGCTGAGCCCTGAAGCTCAGTTCTTTCCGAGCCTTGCATAGGTCTGTGAAGGCTGCACGATGCCCGCCTCTGCGCCAGCCGACGTCGAAGCTTTGGAGATTTTGGAGACCAAGGCTCCGGCTGACGGCCACATGAGATGCACCCAGACGCCTGACATGTGCGAAGTGTCTCACAGGACGCATGACAAAGCCCGAAGCCTTAAGCGCCGCACCTGACATGGCATCTCCAGCTTCGATAAAGCGGCAGATCGCGCAGATTCAGAACCAAGGTTACCTACAGGGACCAGGCGCTAGGGTCTGTTCTCTCAGCGAGGCACATGCTGGGCTGCTGGCGAGCACTGTCCGTCCTGGGAGACCCAGACCTCGATTGGGGGAGCTCCAGCGATGAACACCTCTGATCCCTGGCCCTAGCCCTAGCATTTGCCACGCTGGTGCTGTGGCCTACCGTGCCTGTCACATTTGGCAGGGCACTTCCTCGCACCAGCACACAGCTGCTGAAAGCCACCCGAGAGAAGCATTCGAGAACGCTGGTGAGGTTGGCCTGGTCGAGGACCACACCATTGCATGACCCATCTGCCTTGGAAACTTCCGGTTGTCGAGGACACCTGTTGCCTCCGCGAGTCCCCCCGATAAGGCTGGAGCATCAGGCTCCACGGGGGAAATGCCGAGCCAGCACTCGAAGCTTGTCACGGTCACAAGTTGCTCGAGCCCAGGCAAGGGGTTGGAGGATCGGAAATAAGCTTGAAACCCGCCAAAGCACTGTTGCAGACGGCTTGCTCATGCCATGCTAGGAACAGTCGCTCTGCCGTGGCTGAGCCGTCCTGGGGATTGTCGCTTAACTCCTGCCAGGGGCTACGCTGGTGCGGTTTGCAGGCTGAGCTTCCGAACTGAGGCACCTGCTGGGAGCTCCTCAAGCTCACCGTCGAACTGGTCCATGATGTGGTCCTGCCGCATCGTAAACTCTTCGGCCTCTGTGATTGCTGAATCCAAACGCTCTCTGAGTCGGGCTGCCTCGGTCATGGACTCAGCACGCTGGAGCAGACTTTGGAGGAGGACCTGTTTTTTTGCAGACGAAATTGTCGAAGCTGGAAACCATCAGCCAACAGGCGCAAATGGGAAAAAAACGAAACACTCCGACTCCGTGCAGTGTATACGTGATTCTTGTGCCATCTTGTGGCTTCTTCTTTCTAAGCGGCCTCACAAGCGGAGCACTTGAAGTCTGCCGCCATCTTGAGCGCTTCCACCCGATCCTCTGGAAGACAACAACTCGCCACCAACTTCTTGCAATGTCCCCGCCCTCAACTCCTCGTCATCCGGTGGTTTCACAAAGACATGCTTGTACCTCAACCACTGTCATCAATGGCCACTCACTTTTCCGCACATCAACTCGAGGCCAAGGCCGAAAGTACTCCCCTTCCTTCACAAACGGCACAGCTCAACAGTGCACGACTCGGATTAGCTCGATTTGCGACTGAGCACGGCTCCGATCCGGAGACCTGGTCGCCAGGCTTCACCCCCTGAGGATACCTCGCTGCGGCTGCAAGCTGCAATGCAATTTGACTCGGCCCTTCTAGCTTTGCCACTATGTCGGTCGGATGTTGCTCTAAGACAGTGCTCCATGTGGTAAATGAAAATCAGGGTCAGCAGGCTCTGTGGTTTTTGTCGACGCTGACTGTGTCCCAACTGCAGCAGGCATGATAATTTCCTGACACGCCCCACCCGATATCGCTAGCAACCGACCGTCATGCCTGCTGTCACCTCGGGTACTCTCGCGTGAAACATGACTAGATGCAATGACACAAATGTGTGCCTTCGGCACATTCTGCGAATCGCAGAGCGGCCTTTTCAAGGACCGCCCCAGCGTGTTCATCGCTGATTCCAGTGGCACAATTGTTACAATTCAGCCGGATACCTCGCTTTGCACCTCAGGCTTTTGCAACTGGCCGAGGGTGTGACTTCAGGCAAGCTCGGGCAGCTGCCGAAAGTGACTGCCTCACGTTAACTTCCCGCCTCTGGTTGAAGGCCTCTCAAGGACACGACGACAACGATCGGGTGCTACCTAAGAGGTCCGCACCTTGAAGCGACCAGTGACCTTCAATGCTTCAAGGAGGCACCAGCTCTCTCGAGAGCAGGCTGCGGCTGCATCTGTCCGCGTCTGAGCACATGGCTTTAGCTATACGCGCGTCGAACTTCTCAATTTCCTCCGCGGATGCACTTGACCTCACATATGCGATCGGGGATCACAAAAATAAGGCCACCAACTAAGGTCGACTATCTCTTGGACACCGACCCCTGTTTCCAGATCTCAGCCCAATTTTGCGTGTTTTTGCCTGGCTCAAAGCAGGTACCGGTTTGGTCTGGGCTTGTGGGCATGCTTCTGATATTAGTCGCGTGCTGAGATTCGCGGGCAGGAACGAAAGGCCCGGGAATATCATGGCCTTGGATGTGTCATCACAGAATCGGCGCTTATGAAGGAGTTGTCATGGCTGAGGGACGGACCATCTGCTCCGCGAGAGGTGCGATGACGAACTCGATGAAGCCCACCTTGCCAGATAGTAATGTCTGCAATGCATGCTTCCACGAGAAGCAAATACGCTCTAAAACGACAGAAGGATGCTGTCGGTTGAGCCTGCGAGTTTGGTCGATTAACCTTGTCGCGATCGTTGAGCATCTGCACTGGGATACCAAGCTCCTGCCAGCCGAAGACGAGTGATGAAGGCACCAAGCGGCCAAACGAGTCCGAGCCCAAACACACAAGTCTGTCGGCCTTCTCCTTGTCTCCCTGAGCAAAGAACTCTTCCAAGCAAAGGTCAGCCAAATGCTCGCAGATGGCCTGAGCTCGACCACGCTTGCAAAACACAGGTGCTCGCAGGACCACTAAGGTCAGGACCCAAGGCTTCATCGGATTGGAGATATCTGCCGTGTGAAGCCTCACTCGGCAATCGCTCCGCAGCTGAGGCCGGAAAGTTCTGAGCCCACGACAGTGCTGACAAGACCTGTTCAGGGCAGGCTCTGCTTCCAACAGTAACACGGCGTCTTCTTTGTCAGATAGAGCCCCGCCCGCCCTTAGACTCTGAAGAAAAATCCGACGGCGCTCTCAGACCTCCCTCGCTTGACCGCAAAAACTCACACAAGAAATGCAAGGTGCCCTGGCTCTGGGTGCCCTCATGAAGGCAGAATGACAGCGCTGGGCATCCACACCGACTCGAGCCCATCGTAGGGAAGATTGAACTCAGAGTTTCGAGGCCCTCTAAAGCCCTGATGCACTTCGCCTTCAAGCGGCTTTTCGAGTCCTCTTGTAATGCTTGGCTCAGCCTCAGCACGGACAAGGCTACACAGGCATCGTTTTCGCAGATGTTGAGACCCATGCGTATGTCTGTGCATACGCGTGTACATGCACACGACAACCGAACACAGACGCACAAGACCTACTCCATTGCATGTCACTCGGAAAACCGGCAACCACGTGAGACTGCGCAGACGTACGTACGTGCCTGCATGCAGACATACATACATGTATACATGCATGCATGCATACGTACATATGCATGTACGCAAATACGTATCTGCATACATACATGCACACATACCTGCCGGCATGCTGAATACATATACCAGTATGCTCACATGCGCGCGTGTGTGTGCAGGAAAAGCACCTATTGCAACATGTAGACTTTTAAATAAATATATATATATATAGATAGATAGATAGATAGAACTATAATCATACTAATAATGCATATATGCATATATGTGCATATATATATATATATATGTATATATGTGCGTGTGTGTGTGTGTGTGCGTGTGTGTCTATGTGTGTGCATGGAGCCATGCACGCACGCACGCCCGCCCACACGCACGCACGCACGCTTGCTTGCTTGTTTGTGTACGTGTAGATATATTTATCTACCTGTATATATTCTATCTATATGTAGATCATACCATATTCCTCTGTATCATACTATCATACTATCTTATGCTGTATTATATTATGTTACATTTCGCTTTACTATTACTAATATCGCATAACTTTAATATAAAATACTATGTCATGTAATTCGATGTTTTTTCCGAAGCCATACCGTGAATCGACTGTACGTCAACTTCAAGACACGGCGTTGGCGCAGCACAAAGGAGGCTTACCCTCTGAAGACGCTTTAGAATTCTCTTTGCAAACTTGCATTATAGATGAAATTATCCTGTAACGGGGTTTCTTCATAAGATATTCTGCCGAGCGTCTCTTCCCACACAATCTTCTTTGTGTGGTGTAGCCATGTTTGCCGGGGCTTCCCAACTCGCTTCTTGCCGTAATCAATTCTACTGGCACTGCTGGGCATAAATGATACCTGTCTTAAAGGATCTGAATCTGCACTACGAAGTATATGACCTAAAAGCTTTGCACGTCGTAAATTATGGAACTCACTGAATAAGAGTATCTTTGGCTGGTCGTCCCGGCTTGGGAATGCTATCATACTTGCTTCTTCCAGAAGCTTTGCATTAGTATTTGTACGGTCTATATAGGTGTGAGCTCTGTTTAAAATCTTGCGAATGCCCCTCATTTGGAAAGCATTAAGCTTCTTTGCCATAGCAGTGGTTAAGTGGATGGTTTCTAGCCCATATAGGATGTTATACTATGCTATTTCAGACTAAACTATATAATATCATGCTGTTATAAAACAATATACTCTATTTTGCTATGCTATACTATACTTTACTATTCTACACTATATTATGTAACATCATATTGTATTGAACTTTCTTATTCAAATTATGTAAGTTGTATGCCTACACAACTGTATATACACAAACATTGAGACACATATCATATATGCATGTATACATGTATCACATGATTGAATATGTGAATTATGCGTGTGTATTGTTTTTTTGCGTGTTTATATCTACCTCATTTATTTACTTGTTTCATCATGTCCTTACTCAAGCTTGCACTTAATTCTTCATTCCGTGATTTATTTGGAATTGGCCTTCGATTCATGTATTCATTCGTGTATTCAAGCATGTATTTGTCCTTTATCGTTTAGTTATAGTTATACAGTTAGTTAGCGAATTATACGACTCTTGTACTCCTACATACGCTTGAGCTCTTCGATGATGCTTCGGTTTTTAGCTCGTCTGTGATGCTTTTCAGTGCAAATTCTTGGACATAACCGATGCTGCATATTCAGGTTCATACTGGCTCGGATCTTCCGCAGCCGCCTCGAAGACCTGACGGTTGAAAGATGCGGAAACCTTCCCAGACTTCGAGAGAACGGCGAGCAGCTCGGAGCTGGTACCTCCTGGTGCATCGCGTACACAATCGATAAGGCCTGCTCACGAGTCGAGGTCCGAGTCCCAAGACGGCGAAGAGCAGAACACGCTGGCCTTGACGTCCTCGCTGTGTCGCACCATGTCGGTGCTCAGGATGACTTCCACCTGCGTGCCAGTTGGGCGGGCGACACCAAACCGGAGAATCTGGAGCAGTTCAATCTGAGGACTCTGCAATGCCTGACCTGGCAAGCTTGTAATCGGCCTTGTCCAAGACCTCTACTAGAGTCACTAGAGCTGGCGAGCAACAAGCTTCCGCGCTTCAAGACTCCAGGGCAACCTCCAGCACGTTCGTCCTGGCTTCACCAAGAACCTTCCAGACGCGAACAAAACACAAAGCGCGACCGAAGGCCTGCCTCGCCTCGAACAAAAGTTTGCAGTGCATGTTCTCAAGGACAGACTTGTCGTTGTACCTGCAGACGGTTGAATCAGCTCATGTTGTTTCGACCGCTAGCAAGACAGCCTCAATGCCAGTGCATGAGACGTCTCGACCTGAGCCACATGCAGATGCCATCCACCATACCGTTGTGAACACGCAGCTCTCAGCTGTGGAGTGCTGAGATTTCAACGAGAAACACGTTGTTGACACCCAGGTGACCAACATCGTGTCCCAGCGCTGCAATTAAGAACCAGAATACAGTCACCTACCGGGAGGTTCTTCGCAAAAGCCTTCAAAAGCACTTCGGTGCTGTGTGCTTTAGTGTTCCTAATTAAGCGCCTCCGACAGGAGCGTGTAGGACTTGATGCTGTGCAGATACAGCCGTGCTTCTGAAAGCACGTCCAGCCTCCGAAAAAAGAGCATCAACGTCAGAGAAAACAGCCAAAGAGATAATCAGTGAAACTGCCGATCATCCTGCCCGGCCCTACCCGGGGCAGCGGCCCATGCGAGAAGTTGTGGAACGGGTTGTTCAGATATCTGCCTCGTTTGGTACAGAATCTTCCCTCAAGCAAAGCTCGCTTCTCAGCTCCAAGCTCTGTATGGCGGCAATGAAGCTCATCAGCTTCTCCGACAAGGCCTGCTTCCTGCAATGAAGACGGCCCATGGGCAGCAGATCCCCACTTCAACACACCCACACCATGTCCTCACCCATCGTCGGCAACTGCGCGTGTTGGCCATGAGATGAAAAGCTAATTTGAGCTGCTGCTCTGGCGATACCTGGTCCACCAGTGCTGATTTCACGAACCGAAATGTCTCTTCAACCCTAGAACCTCGCGAGCCTCGAACACATTCAACACTCTGTTGTCCAACATTTGTTTCATGTCCTCGTCGATTCCAGCCCTTAGGCCAAACAGGGCCCACACCTCGTTAGCAAAGCTTCAGCAACTGAGCTAGCCGCGAGGTATCTTCGATCGTATCCGCAGTCTCCAAGCGCCTGCGAATAATGTCTGACTCCTACAGCTTCACGCAACCCGCCACAAATTCTGCAGGGCTCCGACATGATGGGTGCTGCGACAATTCCACCCCCACGGCCTTGGCACGAAGGTCGGAAGTTCTGCCAGCTTCGGTCTCTCGGAAGAAACTGGCATCTTTCGCATTCTCAGGCGACGGCTTTCTGCTCCGTAATCAACCAAGAACACGAACTCTTCCTGCAGCTATCTATTTTCTTGTTCGTCACATTCAGAATGTGCTCAACTTTTGACCATTCACAGAAGCAGTCACGGGTTTTGCTGGCGTCCTGGTTGGATGCCCGCCTCCGGGTCGGAATAACCACCTCGCAGATGTTGACGATCTTTTTCAGGACCTTTGTCGACATGACTCCAAACAAACTCGATTTAACTCAACGAAGGCCTTCTCCAGCAGGTCCAGCTCACCTTCCTGTGCCAGCATCATGAAGGGTCAAATCAGTTGGGCTATTAAGCCAATTGCCACATGTAAACTCAAATCCTCAGCATCTGCTGAGGTCGTTGTCGGGAAACGTGCCGGCGTCTCCTCACCGCAGCGGAAAACAGCCATCACAATCCCTCCTTCCCGTGTGGCTGCTTTCCTTGCTGTCGTTATCAGTCTTGTCTCGGATCTGGAAAGACATTTTCATGATTTCGGCCTCAATTTCGCACAGCATCACGATCGAGAAGGCGCTGTGCAAAGTTACAGCCAGGCAATGAAGACCTCGCACTTGGAAGGCCACGCAGTGCTCTCGAAGGACGCTGACCACACGCTGCAGCCTGCAAGCCGATAACAGACAGGTTCGGACAAACGCTCACTGGAGTCTGACGGTCTTTCGAGGTCTCGGCGGCTTGAGGACTACGGAGTTGACACTGGAGCTCATCATTAGACCTGACGAGAACATGCCTAGCGGCATCTAGCGGCCTAGCAGAGGTAGATCGGTGGATCTGACAGATGTGGGGCACTTCTCAGCGCCCAACAGCCAAGGAACATCACAAGAAGAACGACGAGCATACAGCAGAGGTTGGAGAGCGCCTCGTACCTGCAAGCCGCTGTTGGAGAGGTGGTCAGAGGAGCTCCGACTCCGGCCTTCTCACTTCACCGAGGGAGAAGAGAAGGAGGACGTAGGCGGCCTCTACCTGGCAGAGAGCCGGCTGATGATGGCACTAGGTCACTTAGTCACTAGGTGCAGGAAGGCAGAGCCGCCTCAAACACGGAGGACTGACGCCTGCTCGGAAGCAAGCTGAATAAATGTATGGACTCTGTACTCTGTGAGCAACAAGCGGCTCTGGCTCAACGAAGGTGCTCTGGAAGACCAGGCCAGTCATCGAGCCTGCGATCTGCACTCTGCACTTGAACCGAGTCCGATCATTCCGACACCGACCTGAACAGTCGAATTCGGCGGAAGCGGTGGCTTTGACACACATCCCGAAAGGACCTAGGCTCCCGCCATTCCGGCTCCACTCTGTGGAATTATTTGAGGTGGCCACCGTACGGCAGATTCACGTAGAAGCTGGTAAACTGCTCTAACTGTGCGTTGATCCTGGAGACAAGTCATCAGTGCCGACAGGTGAGACAAAGAGGCAAGCTGCCGGCTTTTCACGATCCTCCTCATCCCATCAGTGCTTGGGCTCGCAAGATAGGATCCAACCTACCGGAACAGATGCAAGCACGACCCCCTTCTTGAATCCTTTGCTCTGCGGCCGTGGCATCACCGGATAAGAGAATTGCCCAGGTACTCATTGAATCCTCCGCCTGGAATCGTGCCAAAGTAGCAAATAACTGGAAGCCAGATGTATCACCTGTCGGACCCGACGGCCTCTGGATACATGAACGTGCTGGCAAGCGGAATAAGAATAACCTCAAACAGAGTCGGAACAGCAAACTGCGCTGGAATGCAGTGTTGGAAAAGTGCATGTGTAATTTAGCTGCAAGGCAGACCGCTGTTCCATGGCCGTTCAGGCAGGAGATGCTTAAACTGAGGGGTGAATTCGGGTCCCCGGCAATGCAAACCGAAAGAAAGGCCACCTGCGCCGGAGCTACAAGAATGACTTCAACGGATGGATGCAAGCATGCGCACGGCCGACCCTGGTGGCGAGCATCACCGTCAGCTTGTTGGAGACGGCGTTGGCAACCTGAATGAAGGTTTTGGAAGACAGCGAGTCTCTGGAGCCAGCAGGCTCTACTGACCGTTTCTTTGCGTTGGTCGCGCCTGTTGAGCACTTTGATCTTTGTTCTGCAGGAAAGGCAGGAAGCGGAGCAGCTTCAACAGCCGCGACCTGAAGTTGGTGCGTTCAGTGCTGCACTCCACCAGACACCACCCTTGGACTGCACAGGTCCCCCTTTCAAACCCTACTGTACCCACAATCCCTCTCGCCTGGCTGCTGTCACCATGGCAGGCACCTCTCTCTCCTGAAGCCTGTTTCACTCCAGGCGCGGAGCATTCGACCGGCACGTGCCGCTTGCTTCGCTGCCCGCGAGGCACGAGCAAAGACGGCCTCGGCGCCAGCAATGGTCATGGCCCGGGGCCCGCTTGCGCTGCACCGATCCGCAAGCTGGTGCGCAAACGTTGTCGCTTCCAACAGAATGCTCTCCGGACCTGTCCAGGCCAGGCACAGGACCGGGCGTCCCTCCGCCCATTTGTGAGACGGGTGCCTCTCTCTCTGCGTGACATCCCTGCCCAGAAAGACGGAGATGTCAAAGACGATCGAGGCAGTGCCTGCAGAGAGCTCCAACAAGCGCGAGCCGATGCGAGCCGCGAGTCGAAAGAGTCGGACCTATGATGTCCATCCAGAAGAAGAAGCTGCTGAGGTACGACCTTTCACAGTGTTCCACTATGTTCCACTCGCGTCTCTTTAGAGCCCCCCGTTAGCTCCCCACTCGATTGTGAGCGTATTCGCTAGCAGTTCGGCCAGGAAGAAAAGGAAGCAGCCCTTAGGCAGGATGCAGCAGAATGCAAAGTGAGCAGCTCTGGTTGGGCAAGAAAACTAACACTTGGAGCCAGGCCATCAGCACGATGTCCAGTGACGTATTCTCAGGAGCCTGCTTCAGGGCTACAAACGAAATGCACACGTGGACACGGTTTAGGGTTTAGGCTTTAGGGTTTAGGGGTTTAGGTTTTAGGGTTTAGGGTTCTCTTGCATGCTTGTGACATGAGTCTGTAGCCACTGCAGCCCGATGGATGAAAGTGACGATGCAAACATGTACTCAATTCCAAGAGACGGTCACTCACGACCTGCAAGCTCGGACAGAGATGTCCTGAGCCACGCCGTAGATGTCGGTAAGGAACAGCGCGCAAAGCACCACCAGCCTGGCAAAAGCAGAGCTCTCAAGTCCCTGCGCCTCAGAATGCCGAGCCCCGGTGCACACCCCGGGCGGCTGACATGGAAGCCACGTCCCACGCTCGTGATGTGATAACTCTGCGGGTGCAGTTTATGAAGCTCGAATCGTACCTGCAGAGCGCGGCACGAAAGCAGCAAAGACGGCCTACAGGGAAGGGCCGGGCGCACCGATCTCCGAGTTTCCGCGCCACGAAGCCACGCACTGGCGGAGGCGGCCTCCGGGGGCGGGCTTGGCGCGGCTGCGCCACGTCGAGGCTCTCGTGCTCTCCGAGGCTGCGGCGCGACGGAGATCGAGTTCCTCTTTCTTGGCACGGCCTCGCGGACAAGACTCCGACTCCGAGCGCTTCCCCAAGCAGGCGTCGCATGGCTTCGCTCGCCTGCACGATGGATGATCGCGGCTTCGGCACCCACTCGACGGAAACCTGGTCCTCACGGCGTCGGAGGTGCCCAAAACATCCAAGAGACACGGCTTTCCGAGGCTCCTCTGGAGCTGGTGACGGAACCTCGACATGGCCCCAAAAGGGCAAGCAAAGCTGCGAGAGGAGTCGAGCCCCGCCCGAGCCTCGTCTTCCGGCTCCTGCTCAAAAATTGGGCGGACCTGTTGCACCTCAGGAAAAGCCGGGCACCTCCTGGCCACACTGCACCTGCTACCCGCCTCCACAAGGGCTCTTCGTGGCTGTGACGCATCACCGGATGCCTACAACCGCTGCTTGCTTGAGGACAAACATCTCAACACTCCGAACTCGCGCAGGCTCGAGCCTGGTTTGGGCTCTCCCCCAGCGGTGCCGTCTGTTCAAGGGGCCTCCAAGCGAGAAGCCACTCGTCTCCTCTCGTGACGCAACATGACGCAACGGCCTGGCATCTTCCAAGGCCAGACCTAGGGCGAGCGAGTCGTCTCTCTGAGATGCCAAGGCGGCACGCGACGCGGCCTTGGTCTGACTTGAAGTCTTCGGCCAGCGGCTCTTCCGGAACACGATCCAGCCTGTGCTTTGGCTTCTCTCGACTCTGCCCAAAGGAAGTCATAGCCCCGTCTAGGAATGGCCCGGTATGGATCGGGGGTCGGCCTGGCATTCTGCTGACCTGGCGCGAATTGAGCAGATAGCCGCTGCGCACACGAGTGCAAGAGAGGCGGAGATGGCCTTCGCAGCAGGTGAAGCAAGCCCTCGGCGCAAAGCTTCTAAACCGACCAAGCAAGCTTTGTAGACATCCGAGGCATGGGCGGGCCCTTGGTTTGGCCCGAAGACATGTGCCCGACATGGATGTCTCCTGCAAGTGAGCTCGATCTCAGCCGGACACACATAACGACAATGAACCAGCATGAGTCCCACTTAGAAGCGGTCCAGCATCTGTCATCAACTGCCAGGCGTGGTGCCAATTCTAATCTGTCTGCATAACGCCTTGCAGATGGTGACATTCATCAACCCTGCAAAAGCAGCCAGAGTTCCTGCCCACCTCCTTCACCCTCCATACGGAGCATGAGCGGAAGGATACAGCAAGGTCATGGCTTCTGTGGTTTAGAGCAACTGATCTTTAAGCGATTCGGCCCAAGTTATGCTGGGTCACTGTTAACCTTGCTATCCACGGGGTGTTACCTTCAAAAGATAGGGCCAGCCATGTGCATTCAAAATTAAGAGTGACACATTCTGCTTACATCATGTTCCTGATGGTTGTGCCCGCACTGGTTCGCAATCTGCGAGCGGAAGCACGATCTCATGTAGTCTAGAAGCGGACTTGGCGCCACTCACGGAGCCAGAAAGTCGCAGGTCCACGGTGCGGCATACCAGGCACAAGAATCGTTGATCCTGCGATTCCAGTTTCCCGCAACCCAGAGACAGCATGTGTGCGTGAGTGTGCGTACACCCTGATTCAAAGATTATGGGATTTAAGCTCAGAGACACAGCTCATGCCAACGAAAACACCTGTCTCCATAGTATATGATATGATCCAAGGACCGAAGCAGAATTGCAGCAGTTTCGAAAGCAAGTGAAGCTCAGAAACCATTAAGGATCATAGTTTCCATCTGCGTGTGTGTCATGTCCCGGCTTCAGCCCGTGGTCCAAATCTCCTAAATTCGACATACTCCGGACATCGAGCTTGCAAAAAACACAGAAATAACTGCGGCCGCGGCCTCACTTCCTTGCTCAGCGCACGCTTCGCCTCGACATCCCGAATGAGGCAGACGTGTAAGGACGGAATGCCCAGAAACTGACGCACAACAGCACTTTCCTGCTGAGAAAGCCTCGGGCCTTGTCGATTGCAAGGAAGATCAGCATATACACGAACCTCATCCTAAAGCAACAAATAATGTCCGTCTTTGCATCAGAATTCCCGACTTCGCTTCTGCGGTAGACATACGGGCTGTTTCATGCTGTTGCGGTGACACTTAGCTGTAGAGCAAACATGCGTGGCTCAGGCACACACACACACACAAAAGCTTCCACGAAAGCACTACAACATGAAAGGTGGGCTAGGCTGCTCATCGTGTGGAGAACGGCTGTCCATGCTTGAACCCGGCATGCGTCAAGGTATCTCTATCGCCCAGCTCAGACACCGACACCCGAATCGGCTTCTGAGTGATTGTAGTGATGGTATGTGATGGTAGTGACGTGATGCTAAGGGCTGAGAGCATACGGAGACCGTCCGTCCCATTGCCATCTCCAGCATATGAGTGTCATATGCCTATCAAATTCCATCTGTACAAGCGTCTGGAGAAGCGCTTGGGTTGCCAGCCGAGGTTGGAGGACATTACGAGCTGGTATTGTCAGTATTGTTGCTCTGGTTAGTTGCGGGGGGGCACAAGGCCACCAGGCTGGAACTCTCACCCAGAAGTGAAACCAAAGCGAAACCGTCTACTGTCGAGGCTTCGCGGGGCGCCGTGCATTCTGCATGCTCTCCGGCTTCAAGTCGTGGAGAGTTCATGCCGCGTCACTGAAAGTAACAGGACCCTTTTGATCCCGATAGGTCTCGCCGACCTGCAATTCAACGTTCACATTGACTGTCTCAGCGCGGCCGTAGATGCACAGACGGTGACTATGACACATTACACCTCGTGCAAGCATGACGGGTGCGCACAGGTCCTGCGGACCTCTTCCAGCTCCGGCCCAAACTCCGGCCCACTCTCGACCATTTCGCGGCTGGCACCTGTCCTTCGAAAGGTACACGCCTAAACACCTCTCTTCATCTCGGTCCCTCGTTCGTCAGTCCTCCAGCTCTCCTTGAGGATCTGCAGTAAAGCCTGAAACCCAAGAGCGACGACCGTGATGTTGCCACTTGTATTCCAGGGAACGGGCAGTGAGCTCCCACGCCAAGTGCTCAGGCGATGCCTCTGATATAAAAAAGGCAGACGCCATGGTCCAGCAATGCTTACTGAGTTACTGCTCCAGCAGGCGCCTCTTCTCTAGCGAGCTGCATGTCAAACTGGTGAGACAGGAGGAGGACCAGGAGGCACCTGGATCTTCAACGGCAAGCCGCAAGCACAAGCATAACACTATAGGGCTCCCGGCCGCAAGTTGTGAATCATCGGCCAAGTGTCCTGCATGCTGTCTGCACGCCTGGGCGGAGCTTGCCGTGCCGGTGCCGCCCTTGACTGCCCATGCGCAGAAGCTTTTGTTTCTTCGGCGCCTGTAGCCGAAAATCCTCGACTTCACACTCTGGTACCTCTGCCACAGACTTGAAACTAGGCTGCAAGTCCATGCCGGCTTGTTCATACATACATGTAGCAAACCCTGCAATGTCTGGCAATCATGGCTCTGCTGCAGCAAGAGTCACACAACTCGATCTCGTGGCTCTTCACTGTGCAGGAGCCATGACAAGTAGACCTGCAGCGGGCGGACTTGTCGTGGATTGCCCCGGCACAAACTTGCGGTTTGCACCCCCAGGCTGCGCTCCAGCGAGCCAAATGCTGCCGAACCTGCCAAGCTTCTTCGAGACTTTCGCATCCCAACACAACGCAGCATCACGCCGTGAGTGAGACTGGGCTGCCCGGCAGGCTTGAAGGCAACGATTCACTGGCACCTCGAACCACGGGACACTATCCCTGAGCTTCGAATTGCGTGCAGAGGAGCATCCAGCGCTTGAGATGGCCTCCGGTTGGTTCCGGCCTCTCCCGGTGTCACTTGGAACCCTCGGCAGGAACACTTCTTAGCCTCTCGAACCGTGTAGGGCAATCTCAGGCAAACACGTGGCGCTGGCATCCTGAAGCCGGGCCTTCGTCGAGAAACGTCTACCAGATTGGTGCCGTTCACAAAACGTCCCGGAGCTGTTGCGCTCAGCTGGCGCACGGGATCAGAACCAAGGCCATTCAAGATTCGGAAAACGAAGGCGCCCAGCCTCGATGTATGAGTTTCAGGCATCACGACGAATGCTCTGTCCAGGTGTTCGGGAGCTCGAAACCGAGTAGCGCACAGTCGGAATAAATTTACAGTCATGTCTCTGGGGCAAGTTGCTTATCTGACTCATCATGAGGGCCCCGACGACGTCTGATCCCCAAGCGGCAGATCACCGGAACGTCCTGAGGTTCTTGACACACATGCAGAAAATGCTTTCATTGCTCTGAGTCAGGTGCTTGTTTTGGCCAGGGCAGGAGTCATCTCTGCATACTTCACCTCATGAAGTGCGAAGGTTCCTCCTTCTTGGTTCGGGGCGGCGGGTGCGAGCCTCGTGGGGATCTAGCCAACCGCGGCCATGCACGTCCGCTCTGGTGAAGGCCAGCACGGCCGCTTGCCTCAGGTCGGTTCCAGGAAGCTCTAAGCTGGCAAATGTCCATCACAAAGGGGTCAGGGCCACAAGAACTCTGGAGCGCCCTGGCTCAACAGCAGGCTGCACCTTGGAGCAAGGCTCAATTTGTGTCTGAGCGCTGTCTCCGCACATTTTCCTGAGTCCCATGCACTCTCCAGCCTTCCAGCAAAGCTTTGCACCTCTGCTTGAACCCAAAACACTTCGCAACTGAAGTGTCTCAGACTGGGCTGTACAACCGAGCTTGCAAGGCTGAGAAGTTCTCAAGCACAGAGAGCGCGAGAGAGAGAGAGAGAGGCAAGCTCACGCTCAGACTCCATCCCGCTTCCGCACTTTCCGGCCAGCATATCCTCCTTCCCTAAGCCCCCGACAGGCTATCGGCATCGATCCCACCCACGAAGCCCCCGTAGAAGCTGCCACTTTGGCTGAACTCCTGAAGCCACCATGCCAGTTCGGATAAGACCCGCTCGATCAAACTATCCCAGATCGTGGCAAGTCCAATGCCCTGCACAATGGTGGGGCGGCCGAAACTCACAAGGTGTGACTCTGCAAGTTTCGAAGACCAGCAGCTTGAAGGGTTGACGAAACCGCAAACAGAACAGGATCCTCGAAGGACAGGTTCCCGCCGGTTGGACTTGCAAAGCTGGAGACCTCGGTGCTAAAAGATGCAACAAGCAGGATGCATGGCATGCAAGGGCTTTTGCTGCACGAACTTCAACGAGGATAGTTGCCTAGGAGGGGCTCAAGGATTTATTGTAGATTCCCCCGTGTCCTGGCAAGATGGAAAGACGACAACCTCGCAGCATTCTTGCAATTGACCTTGGCAGCCAATCCGAAACTGCTTTCTGCACATCTCCCCGAGAAAATGCCTGTAGATGTTGCTCAGGATTCAATGTGATAGTCGGTGTTGGATAGCCATTGAAACCTCCCTTCAGCTGATGATGCACGTTTGCCAGCTCAACCGAGCGGACTTGTGTCGTCACGCACTGTGCATGCCTGCGGCAGCTTCACTGCGAGGTCTGCAGGCCATCGCCTGGTCCCTCCGCTTTGGAGCACATTCCCAAAGCGTCAAGAGCGACATTGACGACCAAGGCAAGGCTCGTCCCGGGCAACCCAGGAGTCTCATGTCTCGATTCCTGCCGAATCCGTCTGCGAACGAGCGGGTGAGTGCGTGAGTGACTCTGACTGAGTGAATGAGAGAAAGAGAGAGAGAAGGAAAAAGGAAGGGATGAAAGAGCAAGGTGAATCTGAGACAATCGCTTCGGTCAGTATTGGCAATTTGGTGGTCGCCGGGGATTCGTTGCCGATGCAAATCTTGGATCCAGACGAACCGTTTGTTGCTTTGCTACATGGTTGGTTCATCCTGTGATATACTCGATGTTAAGATCCTGGGTTCTACACAACCAGCAACAAGGAAACCGAGCCTATTGAAGACCTCCCTTCAAGTTTTCATGTTGATGTCTCAGATGAGATGAGATCTGAGCAAATATCACACACATGAGATCGATCTCCAGGTAAACCTGGTTTCGAGTGCGAATCGGGCATGACCTTATCTGTCACGGCGCCATTACCGCTGCTCTCGAGGCGGTATGTGTTGAGCTAGAGCCCCGAGTGGGACGGATGCGTCTTGGATAGGGTTCCAGCAGGCCCCGAAACATCAATTGATCAGCAAGCCTACGTTGCATGGGAAAGTCTATTTTTGAGTCTCAGCTACGCATTCTCACCGAATTCAACTAACTGCAGATCAGGCCCCAAACTTCAGAGCCCCCAAACTTCAGAGCCAGGGGATCGAGCCATTCGCTCAACCTCCTCCTCTACAACCGACAGTGCCTGACACAGAGTTGCGACGCTCCGCTGTCAAACCTTTCGAGCATTTCCCCTTCACGGCGATGCACCTTCGGCATGTCGGAGAAGAGGAGGTCCACCAGGCGGGTGCAACGCGCCTTGCTGACCTCAGAGGCTCGGACAATCGGATGCTCTCCGTGAAATCCTCTCAGGAAAAGTCCGGGATTCAGGCAAAGCCTGGAGGCAACTTGGAAGGGGCAGTAGCCTCGCGGCGTCTCGTGGTGCTCTGCCACGCATGCTCAGCAAAGGCAAACGGATGCAGAGTGGCCATGTATGTTTCCACATGAGCCGTCAAGCCTGCGACTCTTCGGGTATACTCGAGGAGAGCAACGCCGAGCAGTACAAGTAGAAGGACAGCCTCAGCACGTGGTAACATCTCTTCCGCCATTCGAGAGCAATAGTTGCAGCAGCAGAACAGTGGTGGAATGTGGTGGACACCGGATTGAGTTAGGCTCCCGGGAATTTATCCGGCCATTTTCCCTTGGCAACGGGCCCTCATTCGTGTAAAATATTTTGGGCTTGAGGCCGCGACAGTTTTTTGTTTTTGTTGAACGCCTTTTTCCGTCTGATGGCATCCCTCGTTCAGAACCCACATTAGTGGAAGGCTACCTAACACAATCCCGCGGCGACAACCATGCAGGCGGGACCACAGCAAGTGCGGAAGAAGAATCCTGCTTGGCCTTACATGTCCTCGATGAAGTGGACGGTGTCCGGAGGGTCTGGAGTTAGCCTTTGATCTGCTACCTGCAGCTCCTGAAATGCCATGTCTCGCATTCTGTTTCGTGCTTCAACATGCTGGGACTAAAATGGTCCCAGAGGCCAAACGCATATTACAATCCCCTCCTGAGACAAGAAGAACGACTGCCCAGCTAGAGCCGACATCAAACTCTCTCAAACCCCAAGCCACGAACCAGGATAAAATCCCATGGAGGCCACCCTCCATAATGCGGACGAATCAGAAACAAGGCACGGAGAAAGCTTCGCGCGTGAGCCCTGGATGTACCCAAGCCTTAATGGCCCCCTATCAACACATCTCAACTAAAATGGTGGCCCTTAGCAAAGCCGCTGATGAACAAACCACGTGTGCAGTGCACATGTGTTCTAGACGTTTTACCGTCCGCGTTTTTTAAAACATATTTAGAAAACGGAGAAAGAGCGTGCGGTAGAAAACAGTGGTACAGTCTGTAAGGGCCCGACTCCTCCAAATCACGTGTGCCATCAAGGAAGTCAGCGAAGAGTCCTACCGTTGCATCCTGGAAGGTGTAGTTCTCGCATCATCGCATCGGACAGCAGACTTCTCAGAAACAGAGTCCGGCCTTGGAAGCATTCTGCGCCACAGACTCCAACAGCCTTGCTGCACGAGTGGTGAGTTGACGTATCGAGAAGTGTCATCAAACGATCGAACCCAGCTTTGTTCAGGCAGGTGACTGCCAGGATCTCTGATGCACCAAGCGCTTCACACCATGCTGTCTTCGCAAGATTTCCTGCAAGATCCACGGGCAACCGGTTCCAATGTCGAGAGCTGAATAGAGAGAGTCAGCGATGCTCAGGTCGTCCTGCATGACCGCATGCAGCTGCCGTCTTGGCTGCTGAGTCTTGTCACGCCGGCGATCTTCGAGACCTGGAGGAAAAAACTTCGGTAAAGCCTGAAGCACCCAATGGCCCAAGGTGGCGCTCAACGTCTTCAATGTGAAGAACAACACAAAACTAAGGCTGAGTGGCGTTTGGCAGAGTATACCTCGGCGATAAAGCTTCGCAACTGCCTCCGGTTCGTGCAGCAGCGCCATGATGTGGCTCAATCTGAAGCACTGATCACTAGTCTGTCAATCCCGTGGCCGGGTCCTACGCACTTTCCTGATGAAGAGTTCCCACCTGCGTCCGAACAGCTTGTTGTCTTCCTCCTCGCCACCAAGCCAGAAATTGAAGCGCCGCTGCAATCACTCGCCGATTGTTTCCCGAAGCGCGGCGAAGGGTTTTGCCACAGAAGTGGTTTGGATGGCACGATGTGCTGATGTTGACGTGAGGGGTTGTTTCCTAGCCTGTCCTGGTGTCGCATGACCTGATATGACTTCTTCGAAACGTTGGCCCTCAGCTTTCCGTGAGGTTGTTTGGCCCTTGAGTTGTTGTGGGGGGAAACCTCTTGGCCGTCCCTGATTTAGCCAGTATATGGCTGAAGCATTTTATGTTGAATCTCACAATTACTTTGGAGGAACCATGAGACGGGTATGGAAGGGTCTATGATTTTTGCGTCATTGAAAGAAGGGTTTTAAGGAGGGCTGTTGGAAGGGTTTGGAGTTTAGGATCTGTGCCGGGTTGCGTGGACAGGTGGATGGATAAATGGCTGGGGGGTGGGTGGATGGGTGGGTAGGTGGTAGGTAGCTGGATGGATGGATAGATGCATGCATGGATGGATGCAAAACTGCTACACGCTGTCGGGACACTGCACTGCAAGAACTTGGGTGCACCTCACAGACCGCGGCATTGCCAACCGACGGCCTCACAGAACGAACAGGGGGGCATTTAGCACGGGGCCATGGCTGCAAGGTCTTGCCTAAACATCGCTCAAACACCGACAAGAAGGAAGTAAAGCAGTTGTCCCATCATGCGGCTTGAGCTGATGCTAGGATTCCGGTGAGCTCGGCTTCCGCCAGCGGAGCGGTGCCCTGCTAAAACCAATGCATGACTCTTGTTCACCGCCTGTGAACATGTTCCGCCCGCTCGTCTGCACGAAGCGTAAGCATGCAATCAAGGCAAAAGGGGCTCCAACTTCGCCGTCCTTCTGCTACGTATTTGGCTTCGTGCTTTGCTTAGGACGGGTGGATTCATGGAAGCGTGCGACGATCATGAGAAAAGGCCTGGCTGATGAAACCCAAGATCAAGATACCAGAAGGAGGTCTTGCAGCAATTACAGGTCCCAATTCGAAAAACTGTCGAAAAACAACATAACAGACCGTCGTTGAACATCTGATTTCCACCGATGCCCGACAAGGTGTTGGCTGAAGCACATGCAGCTCACACCTGCAACTCTGGCTGACAGTATGTTCGAGCTGCCGTGCAAAGAAGATGATATCGACCGATGCTTCAACCCACATAGGTCAAGCGGAACCGTCCAACTCCCATGTTTCCGCGCTGCCACACAACTGCTATGCTAAAACGACACTTCTCACTGTTCCGGAATGCTGCATCGCTCAAGCTCTTCGTGTCGTCAAATCACAACACCCGTTCTGACGCCGTCAGACTCCCGTTTTTTGCATGGTTGTTCTTCCACGTGCTGAGTCAACCCTCCGAAGTCCTTGCTGTGCTTTCGTTGCTTGTTTATTGCATCCAGGCTCTTCAAGCTGGCGTTTTGGAACCTTGGACATTGAGTTACTTTGTGTTCAGGGTTCGGATATGGTTGCGCGGTTTCAGGATCAGTCATGATCTAGGGTTTCAGGGCATCGTAGGGCTTGAGAGTTTGCGGTTTAGGGTTGAAGAGCTCTAGGGCCTGCAAGATTTGTCCGGCTACACTTGTGTTTCCCCTCCTTGGTGTCCTTTGTGCAGCCAAACTCTTCAAGCTGGTGATTCGGGAGCTTGGGCTTTGCGCTAGCTTGGCTTCACATGTGCTGTGGTGTGAGTACCATTGCTGTAGCGCCGCTTGAGTCGCACCGAGCAACATGCGAACATCCAACACACTTTCATCATCTAGAAAACATCCATCGGCGGGTTTGGGATGTTTGCTTCCAGGCTTCCGATACTTCGACTTTGACTTCGGATTATCAAGCGACAAGACTTATCTCCCGAGGATAGGAAAATCATTGTTAGCTGTAGCTAAGCCGAAACTCCGGCCCCTTGCCAGGCTTCCCCGCTGGCCCCAACCCCGAGTCTATTCCGTGTAGTGTGCTGTGGCGAGGACGTCTCAGAGCCTCGTGCAGACTTCGTCGCTGCTGGTATGCACACAGGTGTCGCTGCTTGCTGGCCGCGCCAGCGTTTGAAGAGCATTGACGTTGCTTGGAAGCTTACTTCCGAGGCAGGTGCCCAAACTTCTGAGCAGTACAATGCGCTCCGACACTGTCTTGTATGTAAGTCAACTGCAGCCTTATGTTTGAGCTTGCAGTACGGCAACGATTCACGATGCAAATACTCCAAGAAGTGTTCTGTTTAATTTCTCTTGCAAGTTCTCATGGAGAACTATGCACACTTCCAGCACAGTGCTTCAAGTTTGCACATGTCATCTAGCTCGATGCGGGCTTTCAACAATGAAACGACAAAGGCTGAATCGCACCTTGTCCTCTTAGCGACGGTGAGATCAATCGCCTGTGCTGGCAGCTGAGCACATGAACAACCTAGCGCCGAACCCCAAGCCTGGGCAAATGGACATCTGAAGAGCCTCATCCTCTGCGCCTGCGCGGAACGACTCGGTGGCCGTCTTTCCCTCTCACAGAGGCATGGCACCCAGAAGTCGAGACCTCCTGTTCCGCTTCTGCGGCTGCATCCTGTCAACAGAGCCCACTGCAGATTTGCAAAGAGATGTCTATGGATCTATAGACAAAAGGAAACAGCACCACACCTGGCCAGCAGAGGCGGCACAGTCCTTGTGCAAGCTTTTGGCAGTCGGAGAGCGTCAAGCATCTGGCACAACAGCTGCTGGCCTGTTCAGGTTCGGTTTGCTCCAAGTCCTCTGCAAGCACCTGTGCCTCCTGACGACGGTGAGTTGCTGGCTTCTGTGGGTCTGACCGTGGAAAAAACAGCTCCGACAAGGCTCTGCAGATACTCTGACTACTGTGCAGGGAAGCACCTTGCGATGATGTGGGCATAAATTTTGCTGAAAAGGATTGAATGAAGTCCGAGTGGAGGGCTCCTACACTAAGTGCTCGTCATTGGCCAGAAAAACATACAATACAGTTGCAGCTTTAGACGATGAGACAAGCCAGAGCAAAAGCAATCGTCTAGCCGTTTCGTTGTGTTCCCACGAAACAAGATACATGCACAAAGGACCCAGAACCTGAAGGCCTCGACAACTTACGAATCGTAGGGAGCAAGCTTGTCTGGGGTGTCGGGTGTGGAACGATGGTCTATAGTCTATAGAGTTTGTGGAGTCTGCACCTGGCCACCAACATAATTTGCCGCGTGTGCGACGGCTGCACCGGGCTTTTGGAACAAGGGGCCGCTCATCCAGAGCGTGAAACCCGTTCTGGGGACCCCACTTGGGAAGGACATGGAAAGACCCGCGGGCGAGGCGGCAAACAAGTCATGTGAGCGCAACGCTGATCACTTGCCTGGCCCAAGCCCACCAATCCGAGGATGGGATGGCAAGGCAAGATTTAATGCACAGAAATTCGCGAAAATTGCAGGTAAGCCTCAGTATCGGCTCAAGAACAACATCCATTCTGAAGCTGGTGTCTTGCACTGCTTTCAACAGGGAACCGAAAAGAAATGCCATGAAGCTCAGTGGGTGAGACCAAGTGCTGCATGTTCTGATTGGCGATGGCTCCTCCTCTTCTCGGGCAGTTTCACCAGCCTCCGGTGGCCTTACAAGTGGATGCACACATACCAAACAGAGGCAGCGACTCTGTCTGGACTCTCAGCCCAAGTTTCCGGCAAGGACACATTTGGACTGGGGCTGCGCGGGCTGGCAACAACCACGGAGCCTGCGTGCCGACGCTAGTGTGTCAGATGTCTCTGCTGATCTGCTACGAGCTTCGAGCCTGTCTCTGCGGGCCCATGCACCGAGGTGCTCGTGGTTTCGGGATCTGGGCCAGCACTGGCACCACTCTGTGCCTTGCCAGCTACGAGTCCACGCTTGGGGCGGCGTCTCTCGCTTGAGTTCCGCGCGGCGGCCCGTGGTTCGGGAGCTTTCTTGCTCGGCACGGAGTCGCTCTGCATAGCCTGGAGCCGGAAACAGAAAGCGGAGAGAGCGCTTTTGCTAGCGCTTTGGTGCCTCAAGGCGCTTCTCCAGGTCCTGCAAAGAACCAATGTGCTACAAGTAGGGCAGCTGGGCCTAACTCGAAAGTGCAACTAAAGGCAGCGACATCTCCTCTGCTCGCTTCATCTGCTGCTGAAGGGCCCTGCGAAGCTCTTCCACCTGTCACAAAGTGCCAGATTGCCTTACTTCGTCCTTCCTTAGTCCTTCGACTGGCCACACATTCGTGCCTCCCCGGCCGAGGATTGGCTTTCGGCTAGAGCCAATGCAGAGCGCAGACGGTCTTCGTGGCTAGCCAAGGCCTCTTTCATCCAGATGGCAGAGCCTCTGAGATCTCGGCTTCACCCACGCCTGTTCCAGATTGTCAGGTGGGTCAACCCATGCCTGGTGACAGCGCGAAATGAGATCAGTCTCAAACTGCACTCTCACCTTCAGGCCGCTGTGCCTTGCAAGAGCGCTGTGCCAGCCTTGTCAAGCGACAGAACTTGCAGAAACAGAGGCAGCTGGATGTAGCTGAGAATCTGGCCATGCAAGCATATCTCGAATCGCTACAAGAGCTTCCGCATCCTGGCTCTTCAGAATCTGTTCACGGTTCGGAACTGACATGCTGACCACGCCTGGGCCTAACCACTTCATTGTGCCCGTCATCGCTAGATCCGAGTCTCAAAAAAACACCGAGTCCTGCTGCACCGATCTTGGACCGAAGTCGTGCAGAGAGTCATACACTGCCTTCAATCTGCGAAAGCAAGAAGCTCTTTCTACAACAACTCTAGGCTCTAGCTGTAACTCTGGAGCTGCCTGCACCCAAACGAGGATACGCTCCAAGGTCCTTGTGGAGGTTTTCAGCGCACTGCGCTGAGAAACACCAGGACACGCTGCCAAAGACGCTTGGGAAGCCACGCATCGACTGCGTGCTGCAACAGCTGATTCCGCTCCAGATGCTGCTGCCTTTCCTCCTGGCATGGACAGCAGAGGTGAGGCTGGGCTGTTGGAAGTCTCTGGAATCGAGGGCTGGAGCTTCGAAGCTCGTGGCACTGCTGGGGACTTGTAAGCACAAGGCTGGCCTCTTGCAAAACTGAGTTACCGAACCATTCAATGACCAGCCGTTAGCACATCATCTAGCTGGAATTCACCCTGTCGGTCTGTACTGCCCGAACACGTCGTGCAACTGTCTGACACCATGTCTCGACAAGTTTCGTTCCCTTTGCCTAGGATCGCACAAATAGCATCCATGCAACATCATGCAACTGTGCAGCGTGCACGGTCCCCCCTGCTGGGTTTTAATCTGCAGCATCCGAGCCTGCAGCATGACCATGTGCTTTTCCAAGTGCTCGTGATTCTGGGACGCCGTTTGCACCTGCCGGTGTCATATGCATGCCAGCAATGCCTGTGCAGGCCCTCGCAGTTGGCCTTGATCTTCTCGGCTTCCACGTCAGCCTGCACTACATTTCTCACGGCATCTCGTGCCTCCACAGAGTGGGTACGGACCTTCTGGAAGTCCAGATACGGCACCAGTGCTGGAAACGAAGACGCTAGCGGTGAGGCCCTACCAGAGCAGAAATCTCCAGTGATGGCTGACAGGCGACACTCTGCCTCGGTATGTCAGCTTCTGCTTCGGAATCCGTGCTGTCTTCCTTCACAGGTGCTCACGTCTCATCTTCTTGCACATCAAGAGGAGCACGTCAGTCCTCCTCTGAACGTCTCCGCGTGCTAACCTTCTTGATTTGCGGGGGTGTCGCAGAACTGTCCTGCCGAAGCTGCTCCACAACAACATACAGCCAAGCTTGGCTTGTGGGTCCTGGTCACTGTGATTGGAGCTTCCCTGCAGCTTTCTCGGCGCGAGTGGTACACGGATTCAGATGGTAAGAGACCCGCCTGTGTTGGCACGCCGTCCGGTGTTCCACTCCTGACATCTTCAAGCAACCGACATCGAGCTGCTACAAGGAACCGGCTGCTGCTGCGGACGTGGTAAATCAACACATTATGTCGCAGACCTCTGTACCCCCTGTCAGATCACTCAGCAACGGAGGGGCTCTTTTCACGCTGAGAGTTTGCACACGGCCCCTGTGCTGTATGAAGCGCAGCAGGCAAGCCAGGCATCGCAGGAATGGAATGGAGTTAAGACAAGAGCTCGCATCACTCGATACTCCTAACCGAAGCTGATGAAGAGGTCATCGGAGGAGCCGGATCGAAATCCCACAGCTCTTGACGTCCAGGCGTTCATTGCTCAGCTTCTCCTTTTGGCAAAGTCCCCGCGTGGAAAGTAGTCAATAGCCTCCAGGAGGTCTTCTGCAAACTTGGCAAAGTACCTGTCCTTCTCCAGGAGGCGCTCAAGGGCCTGGCGACGATCCTGGGCTTCATCCAGCGCGCAAAGGGCATCCTGGAAGGCCTCGCTCTGAAGAGCACTCCTGACCCCGAGGTGACCTCGCAGCGCACAGAGCCTAACCTCGGAGATTAAGTCTTCGGGAGCCTCGGGCTCCTGCTCTTTTCGAGCTCGTTTTGGAATCTCTGCTTCCGGCCGCGCAGGGCATTGCCCGGCCGCGTGGACACGATAGCATGGCAAAGAGCAATATCTCTCTCGACAGCAGGGAAACCGATACTTCACCTCAGCACAGCCACAAACGAAGCACTTCGCCATAGCGCAATGGCGACTTGAGCCAAAGGGCTGCTGTGGAAAAGCGCAGCCGTTACAGCCTTCAGCAGCCCCAGTCACTTCACGAAATTCACCCGGCCCGGCCTCGACAAGTTTTGGGAAGGCCTCAATGCTCAATTTGCTGCTCAATTGGCATCACGGCATCGCAAGTCTACGACAGGTTCCTGAGCCTGAGGTACGTGGCACCGTCTTGTTTCAAGCGGTGTAAGCAAACTGCTTGGCGGACTGACGTTGGGAAATTGAGCTGAGTTGGAGCGGACGAAGAGGCATGAAGTTCAGGAGACTTCAGCATACTTACCGTTAATGAGTGTGCTGCTCCTTTCCTCAAGCCTTGATCAGCACCTACAAGCAGTCGATCCAATTCCGAGTACCCGAGCACAGTGTCCAGCCGCCCACTCTGCCGTCCACTGGGAGGCACATGCAAGCCTTGCAGGCATGTGCAAACCACAGCTCGGGAGGTGCCACGTGCTCCCTGCACGGAGCCTGCTGACCCCGCGCCCGCGGTCAACAGGAGCGAAGTCCTCGTCGTGGAGCTGGCGCCGCTCCTGAAAAGGACCGGAAACGAAAGCAGCTCCCCGACTCGCCCCTTTGCACAGCGGTTCTGGGTAACCAGCAGAGTCGTCTGATGACGCTCGAGCCTGCTGCTCTTAGCATTCTAACCCTTGGGGGCCCTTACCCTGACACGTCATCTTGCTACTTGTGGGTTGGCATGCATCGCCCGGTGTTGCACCTTTTGGCTTCAGTCTTCTCCTTCAAGACATCACCACCTGAATTCCATGTCCAGATATGTAAAGCTCTGTTTCTGCCCCATGAATCCGAGCCCTAGGCTGATGCTGCCAAGACTTGTCGCCGGGCCAGAAGGGACCTACGGCATCGTCCGCGCGATCGCCGAGTCGTTGCAGGGCAAAGCTGTGGCAAAGCCTGGTCTGGCCCCAGAACGAAAGTGGAAAATGCCATCATTGGGGAGTTGGCACCGTCACCTCAGCAGGGCTTTGAGCTGCATTGAAAGGAGCCTTTCAGGAGAAAGACTCGGAGTGCAGCGTAAATTTTCTTGTGCTTGACGCTCTTCCTCATCGCGTCGTTTGATCCGTTCCAAGGCCTTCATCGACTGCTAGGACTGGGAATTTGTCTGCGAGATTCGGAGAGGCACCTCTTCCAGCTGGGCGGCAAGCTTCTGCCCCTTCCTGTCCGCCTGGCGAAAGCGCTAAACGAGATCACTGAAAACATCTGAAAACAATTCAAAAGAAGCCGTGCCTCCACTAAGCTTTGCTGCTTCTCGAGCACCTGGCCAACATGCCGAGACAACGCACAACTGCGATCCCAAAGAAGGTTGACCTCGGCCACCTTCTCTTCTTTCTCTTTTTGCAGTTCTGCCTGTGCAGCTTCGGCACGCTGCGCGCTTGATGCAATTCCTGGAACTAGCGGCAATTATCGCGAGCCTCCTCGCGCAAGCCACGCTGCACCTTGGCATGGGCACTGCAAGTAGCAGAATAGTCAAGCAAAATCAAAGTCTCAGATTAGGGCCATCCTTCTCAAGCCCTCAGCGTCATCCTCCAACTCGGCAATTCTGGCCTCCAGCAAAACAGAGAAGGGAACGGTGCAGCCAGCTGACAGCATTCAAGCCAGCGGCTTCGAGTTCGCGTCGCTCCTGAGCTGCTTCCCTTGCTTCCGCGGCCTGCCTGACTCACGAAGCGTGACCAAAACATGTGTTCTTTACCACGAGCCTACAGTAATTGCCAACAATAATCAACGAAAGAAGCTGTCCCTGACTGGAGACTGGAGGGCCTTTCTATGATCTGCACCAGCTTGTCCAGCGACGAGGATGCTGTAGAGGTCGCGGAATCTAGTAGGGCAGCACGCCTTTGAATGCATGCTGCCGCTGTTGTACAGAACCTCGAACATGCATCCTACCACCACATACGCCCTGGGGCTTCGACTCTCGCGATTCGGAAGACGTTTCGCATGCATAAGCATGTAAAGTGTCAACCTTAACCAGCTACACAAGTTGCACCCACCGATCCTTGTTTTGCCAGATGCTCAGGGTGGTGCACACAAGGTCAACTCCTGCTTGGCGAAGTCTGCCTGGTGCAGTGGACCGTCGCTTTTCCACGCTAACGGCTAAAAATACAGAAGCTGACGGAGCCCCGCAGGCAGAGCGTGGCAAAACACGGCTACGGCGGCTCCGCCTCCACGAGCGCTGCTTTCAGAGCCTCCTCGTTATTGACCGCGGATACCGCGGGCTCCGGCTCGGAAGCCAGCGGCCTCGACTCGCATCGACTCGCGACATTTCGCGACACGAACATGGCGGCGATTGGTATCGGCTCAGTGCTCAACACGAGCTGCCCGGCATTCTCAAGATCGGAACTTTGATGGTCCTGCGACAGTTGCAGGTGCTGGCGTCCCTCTGCATGGCCCCAGCTTTACCTCATGCGCGGTGATGAAGGTGTCACCAGCATCCGCGTACTGAGAGCCTGGCTTGCTTCGCAAGTAAGCGACAAACCGCAAGCCCCTAAAAATCCGAAAAGGCTTGCAGTTGTGCCCTGCCGATGCCTGCGCCCTCCAAGGCAAGCAACGTTTCCGCTTCGGGAGCTCGGGGGCGAGTCGCTTCCACCTCTGTTCCTGCTCGCACGTGGAGTTCCATCAAATGTGCACCATGTTGCTGCTGGAGGCCTGCTTCCGGCCGCTTCCTGTCTCTTTCTCCCGGTCCTTTCAACAAGCGTCGGCTTATGCCCCTGCTTTGCACTGCTCGTCTTTGGGCTTGGGCTGCGGCTTGGCCCGCGCAAGTTTTGCAGCCGGTTCTCAAAGGTCTCTTTCAAGGTCGCCGCCTGAATTTTGGGGAAGCTCTTGGAAGCCGGTGCCTTCTCGCAGGCCACACCTTCTGGCGGAGCGAAGGGGCAGGCCTGCAGACACGATTCCTCACTTTTCGAGAGCAGCCTGTTCTGCCGGCCTTGTTACGGCCGCCGACAATTTGTAGAAGCCCTCGTGGATCACAGGACCTAGATCGCCATTACACCTTGGTATCAAGTTCGACTGGTCCGTCGCTGAGCGGGAGCCACGGTGGTGGGGTTGCAAGCGGCGTTTTTGTTTGGGTTGCTGGTTTTCTGCTTCTGAGCCAGAGCTCAGCTCACTGCTGGGCCCCTTAGCCGGTGAGACATGAGCGTGTCCGAGTGTCTTTGCAGACACAAGTACCTTCATACCTCTGTGCCAAACTGTACATCCGCACAGGAGTCACTCTGATTCGGCCTCCAAGCCGGTGAAGAAGACTTTGTTCTCTCGACGGACCTCTTTGACGTCAAGGATCTCAAGCAGCTCACGAGGAGGAGCTGGCGCCGCGTAGCCCAGCTTGCTGTACAGCAGCCTAACCTCAGAAAGGACGCCATGGGCACAGAGAGGACTCCTCAGCACATTTCACACTGAGGGTCTGGCGCGCTTCAACGTCTCGGTGGAAAGCAGTCCCTTGAACATCCGAAATGCACCCATCTCGATGTCCCCAGCAGGATAGATGACCTCAGTGCACGGCGGCTCTCACAAGACTTGCGCCCGCGGCACAGAAAGACTGCAACTCAACAGGCGGAAGACGCACGGTGCAGAGCAGACAACGTGGCTGAAAGAAACAACCATAAATGCAACTAACATTATCCAAACAGGAATCCCCAACAGAGCCACAGCTGCGATCTACAAAACAGGAGCGGATTCCAGCTCCTAATGGCATCATGCCTCCACCCCGTTGGCAGCCAGCATCATGAGCATCAGAAGGAGTGCTGAAACCGCCCAGAGAGGGAGCTTTCGTCTGGTGCGAGCCAAGCAGCAAATCTCTGCAGGCGCTCCGGGAAGTAGGACTGCCGGGCTCTCAAAGCGGAGCAACAGAAGAGAGAGCTGAGAGGATGTATTGAGAGGGTGCATCACACCGCCCATCCCGGCCTGGAACATCTTGGCCATGGCCGAGATGTGCGTCCAGAGTCGCCAGACGGGCTTCGCATCGTAGCCCAGCGCTTTGTGCGGCCGGCAGTCCAGGAGCACAGTGAAGCGCAAGGTGTCCGCGCGCTCGACCTGAACAAAAGTAAGGCAGTGAAGAGAATCCATCTCCCACCTACTCGTAGAAGCTGTGGCACTTTGGACGGCCCTCCCTTGAGGCTCCCGTCGTGTAGCCTCCGTGTCCAGGTGCCGAACCAGTTGCTGGCAGTAGGCATCCGGCTTGAAGTCCACGTTGATGCAACACGGCAGCAGCAGAAGCAGGCGCGAGCCGTCCCTGGCAAAGCCGTTAAATCGGAACGGGTTTGGTAAGTCGCTTGGTGGTGCTGGCCACTTGGGGATGCCCCGTCGCCACTCAAGGTAGGCACTGATGAGCTTCGCGGCCTTCTCGGGATTTCCAGAAACACTCTTCCGCGCAAGGAAACGAGCCAATTCTGCGGACGGACACTCCGGGAAGTCGACCTGAACAAAAACATCTTCAACTGCACCCTTTCCAACCTACTAGTACCAGTTAGATTGTTTGAACCGAATCACTCAGGCCTTGAGCTGATTGATCGCTTGCAGAGGCACGTTGTAATGAGCAGCAATCTCACTGTCATTTCTCAGCTTTGGAATCACGAGCCCTAAACCTGTGCCGCAGCTGTTCCCAAGCTCGGAGTCCGAAAGATCATCAATCGCATCGAAAAACTGCTCGAACATCTCGTCCATTGTCTCCGTCCTGCTTCGTGATTCTTCCTTCTTCTCTTCGGACGTCCTCTGTTGCGAACTGCGGCTTACTGGATCCTCACTGAAGTCCGAGTCATCGTCATCATCGAGGTATCCATAGACCGTAGCAGCCACTCGCTCGAAGCCCCGAGCCACAGGCCTCCAAGGACAGCACCTGCAACACCTCCAAGGTCAGAACATGTCAATAACATCTTGGGAACTTAATAACCTTGCCTCCGCGGCCGCAGCGACCGCGGGGACCAAGCAAACGACATGGCATCCTACTGAGGGCATTCTTCAGCTTGAGGCAAGGCCTGGTATTCTGAGCTCTGCCCTGCCCCTTGCACTCTTTCATGAAATGGCTCAGATGCACACTCGTCCAGTGTCGAAAACTGGGAAAGCCGAAGTCTGCCCGCCTTGACCAAGGGCCTCAGAGGGTAAATCGCAGCCAATGAAGTATCCAGTGCCGCACACAAAGCCAAGGATGAAACTCTGGACTTACTTAGTCAGATCTCAAGCTTCGAAGCAGGCTTGTAAAGCAACGAATCATCACCTGTCTGGCCACTGACACATCATGTGCCCACACATCCCCGACTCTCTTCTTCTGTAGCACAGACGAGGAGAAGCTGCGAAGTCAGCCCCTCCGCGCGTCAGCGCGCACTGGTGGGGGCAGAAGCTCGGCGCGAAAAGACTTGCGACAAAGACTCGGTCAGTCACCGAACCCCCGGCAGAAACCAGCTAATCTAAGTACACCCAACCCGCCCGAAGGCTCTCTCTGTCTCTCCTTCGCCCTCTCCCTCAACATGGCCGCGTTTGGCCTTCGCTCGGCTTGGCCTGACTAGTGGGTTTGAACTTCAGGTCGCTTATCAAGATTTGAGCTGGCTTTGGTGAGGCGGGATATTGGGAGTCAGAGGCATTTTTGCAAGTTGTTTTTTACCGTCGCCATCGAAAACGGAGCTGGTTCGGCTTCGGTCTGGTTTTGGTCAGCCTGGAAATCTTTGGTTAGCCCGCAGCCATCTCAAAAAGATGCTGGCGAATTTGGGCCAGTCGACACGGTGCAAGCGAGCCCTCTTAAACATGCAGGTCTGGCTTTCGATTCCCGAGCCTCAGACCCGTTCTGTGATTCAAGCTCATGCTTTGCAAGCTTGACCGCGTCGACGGCTCGAAATCCTGCATCCAACTATCACCAGATCGGCTTCAGAGATAAAAAGAACACACGACTATCTGAGCTCCCTGCTCTGCGGGCGCGGTGAAGCGCTCTGTGCCTTCCCAAAGGGCTTGCGGCTGTGAACCTTCTGGCCCTGCAGGGACATCATGCACTCACAGAGCCAGGGTAGTGACTCACGTGAGTGACCTCCAAGTCTGACTCGTTCCAAGGACGTCGTTCTCGAGGGGAGCTTTGCAGGCCTTAGCACAGAGGCAAGCTGCCACATATCGATCTGCGGGCGTCTCACCCGACCTCCTCGAGCCGTCAGTGGAGCCTTCATGCTCTTCCACCTCAGCAAACTACAGTAGGGACAGGCTGATGAAGCGCAGCACCACCGACAATGCCTCGCTGATCTCGCTCACGCATGGAGTCCGCCGTTCAGGAGGTCATACAACATGCCACAATTCGGTTCTGCGAAGTCTTCGTAATTACCCAGCATGAAACTAGTCCATCAGTGCTATACCTCGCTCCTCAATTTTCCCTGATTTCCTGGCTGGAAAACATGCAACCCATAAACCTTTTGAATGCCATGACAACACGGAGTTGTACTCGCATGTTGCAACACTTGGGTCCAGATGCCACTCTAGAGCGCAAAACTGGCAGTGCTTTGCATGTCAGTGAACTGGCGTTGCTATCCATGCATATCCCCTTTTCTCAAGCAGGCAACTTCGCAGTTCCCAGGTAGGCGATGGTCAGAAAGATACTCAAAGCGGCTTGCAGAAACTTAGAGTCTTAGAGGACCATTCCTGAATTGCCAGGGACCTGCAGAACTTCGAGTCTCAGATCCACGGAACTCCAAGCTTCTCTGCCAAGTGGCCGACAGCACCGTCTGAAAGGCTGAAAAGACTTCCCAATACGCTTGAACCTGAAAGCTGGGAACTCTCCGCCACGTCGGCTTGCATCATCTTACCGGAGCCTCTCTGTTCATTCGATGTAGCTTTAGCCCAGAGGCGTGATGCAAGCCCGAGCTGGCTGGAACTTGAAAACATTGAAAACCTGCTAAATGGAGGGCTTCACCGAAATGATGCTCGGTGAAGCGACAAAACCTGGCACCTCGGTACTGAATACCAGACATGAATTAGGAGAGAAGCCGAGGCGAGCCCGAGCCCTTAGCCCGAGCCGAGTCGATCTGCTGCTCGTACCCTCTTTTCGCTTAGGTCTTCGGACTCGGCCTCCCCTGAAACCTTGCATGGCCTCATGGCCTGCAGTCTGACACAAGTCCAATCGAATGCGGTTACCCCATGGTGCTTTCAGAACTGCGTCACACTGCACACGACTGGAAATGAAGGCCTGCACAAGCGTGCCAGAGCCACCTCATACACCCGCTTGATGCTTCAGAAGATGGGCAATAAGATCTGAAGTGAATCTGCTTGTCGTCAAGTCCAAACCCGGAATTTTCGGTGTAGTCGCTGGGATACACTGCACAAAACTTATCTTGTCTTGCCCAGCTTGCTGCTGCGAGCCTGGATACACCTGACCTGGAATCTAACCTGCCTGTCGAAGGAAACTGCAACTGAAGCAAACTGCTCGTTTCGCAATCTACTGTTGTGCTATCTCTGCAGTTTCCTTACAATGCACACGTCATCCAGACAGTGTTGGACGGACTTGCTTTGCCGGGATTTTCGAGGAGCTGAGTACTGCGTGGTTCAAAAAGTGAAAGCTGTCTGGATGCATCTGAGATTGGTCACCTTGACATGGTACCTGAAGCACTGATATCAGGTCTGCGCTGTAACGTGGGCATGGGTTATATGGGTTGCAGTGGTTACAGCTGAAGATCACTCAGCTTGCAGACCTGGACTGACACCTGTTTGCACCTTGCACTGAGCACTGATACTGGAAACCTTGCCTGACAGCTGCCGACTGCTTGCAGCTTCCATTGGCTACTCCAAGCAAAGCAATGAGTAAAGCGATAATGAGAAGCCATGCTGGATTGAATCGAAGCTGCAGTCTGTGTCTTGATACCTGGCCACCTCTACATGTTGGACAGGGATAGCCTGCCTGAGCCTCACGTGGTCACATAGCCTCAGCTCTCGCCTGGGAGTTGTAAAAGCTCGTCGCTGCATCCCTGCCCTGCCTGAAAAACCTGAAACTGGTGTGAGAAAGAACCCTGGCATGGCTTTCAGCTGCGGCGTGCGCCGAACACATGAACAAGTACAGCAGGATGGGGAACCATGACCTAGCCGTGCCAGGGCTCCTACAACCTAAGCCTGACAGTGAAACCTTGTGAATGCTGGAAGCCCATCTTGTCAGACTCTTGAACTTCTCAAAAGATGCAAACAAAATGGATGGGCAACACGACCTGGAGATTGAGAGCTCGAGTTTCGCATGGTCCAAGGCTTCAGTAGGTTACAACGTAAGGACAGCCTGGACCCTTAGCGAAACCATGTACCTTTCCGTACCTGGCTTGCACCGGACTGCACCAGCTTGCAGAGCTGTTCCAAGCACTGCGAGCATCCACTTCTAAAGAGACTGCATACTGTGTTAGACCGTGGACGTGCTCCGCAGGCCGGCTTTGACCTCATGGTGCCAGGTGTCTGGTGGATCAACACCAGACACCCAAGCGGAAGAGGCCGCCTCATCAAACAGAGGCGCTGGGCCTGGGGGCTCCTGCAGCCAAAAGCTGCTGCAAGTACCTCGGCTGCAAGTGCAAAAATCTCATGCTGCATGCTGCATGCTGCTTGCAGATGATCTCCACGCTGCCACTGAGCCCCGCACCTAGACACCTAGTGTGAAAAGCTGCTGGCCAGTTCGCGAAGAAACAGAACTACAAGCTCTGGAGTCACTGTCGTGACTGCAAAAAGCAAAGCCACAAGACCTCGCTCTTCGTCCCACATGGCACGTGCTGCTGAATTGGAAAACTAAGCATTGTTGGCGCTTTGGAGTCTAGAAACTGAACTCGTCAGGCTGCAAGACCTTAGAGCCTTAGAACATAGTGCAAAGGACGAAGCGCAGCTTGTTGCAATTGACAGCTACACTATGACTGAAACAGAGGCCAGCTCGCTCAGGAGCCTGGTGACACTCAGGTCCAGCGCTTGAGAGAGCTGCCTGTCAGCCCTGCCGGCCCTGCCTAGGCATTGTACCTGGCCACTGTTCAATGACGCTCCGCTCTTACCTCTAACTTGGGCTCACGTGATGACAGTCGAACTGATGGACGCCCGACACAAAGGGCAGCTATTCACCTGAACAGCATTGTCTTCGAGTGCATAAAGTCCACTTGCCGTGCATCCACGATGTCTGTCGGTAACTGATGGTCGTATGAATGGCTGTCATGCTTTGCTGTTTCTGTTGGTTGAGAAGCTTCTTCTGTCGCTCTCGCTGTTGGGCAATGTATCCAAAAAGCCTTACAATCTACAAGCTGGCACGCCTGGTCGAGGCATCTCGAGCACACGGCACGGTGCTGACAATCTAGGATGACCTGCGGTCAACCAGTCCGCGAAGGATGCCCTTCCATGTCGGGGTCCTGTCTGAGTCTCTGGCCGTGTTGATCTCGCGCTCGTAACAAATTTTACAAAGATGGCCTGGGAACAACCCGAGACAACATGTCCATAAGTCCACTATGGCGGGAGCACTTTCAAGAACGTAGTAACCCTGGAATCCGGCGTTCTTGCTCGGCTTCAAGGCGCTTCTGAAGTTCCAGAACCTGCACAAGGAGGAAAAGGAAAAACAGGTGCCATCACCCCTTGGAAGAATTTTTAATCCCAGAGCCTGCAGCCGGAGCCTGGTGACTTCCTTGATGTTCTCTGGCTGGGGACCTGCCCAAAACACCATCTTCGGATCATCTCGGGCCGTCTCAAACCCCGTCTCTCGCGTGCATTTCCGGTCCTTCCACCTCTCCGATCTCTGGCTCCGCGGCGGCCTTTGGAAGACCACAGGCAACTCCGCGAGTACCGACACGCACTTTACAGCCTCTGCATCACCTTCACCCGTTCCCTGCAAGCGCCGCCTCAGGGACACATCCCGCTTCGAGCACGGCTTGCAAATTTAGCATCGCGTCCCTCGGCCTCCGTTTCTCATCACGCGGCAGCTGTTCGGGGAGGGCCTGCATTTGCTAAGGACAAACAGGCATGCTAGTCCACGCATGCTGCACCCAGCCGCGGACAGCGGCTGCAAATGGAAACTGGGCCCAAGACAATCTTGTACATGTCGTTCCGTCGCGTGCCATCGAACTCACAATGCAACAGATCCGGCTCTCGCAGCCTGTGACGCGCTGAGGCCGAGGCCCCTCCAAGGATGTACATACAGCCTCCATACCTGGTAACAGCAGGGGATTTGAGCAGCGGGCGCTTAACTGAAAGCGATACTGCAACCTGCAAAGATGAGGTTGGGTCATGCAGGCACGATGGAAGGTTCTCGCAGATGGTGGATCACCAGACTGAGGGCAAGGTCAATACCATGTCCATGTCGCTTACATCTCTCCGTCTGGTCCAAGCACCACTCAGAACCAAGGCTGCGACAGTCTTCACCCGAGACCATGACCTATGCTTCATGTGACTTCCACGCTCCATCGACATTTGGCACTCCAGGTTTGAATCTCTTCGCTGGTCGGGCTCTGGCCGAGTGTCAAAACTGAACTCGCACAAGTCGGAGAAGCGTGCCTCTCGCTGAGAAGCATGGAACGGGGCGAGCACGGGAGCCCGGAACCGCCGGCATCCCCGCCTGGCGCTTGTCCACCCCACCGAAAACGAACATGCAGCAGCCGTGGACCACCGCGCTATGACGATAGCGAGACCTTCAACAAAACTCTCTCATTCGTCCTTTTGTCCCAAAATTTCAACTGAGGCCGGGGGTCCCACGGAGGAACGTCGCCTCGTCCAGGAACAGCATACCTATGCACAAGAGAGTCGTTTTAGTCATTCTCCCGAAGATTTGAGAGGCTGTGCGTTGCACCATTGGTTCGTAGTGATGGAAAACTCGTACAGATCATCCAGTGTGTCATGGCCATCCCACCCGCCGAACACAAACCTGCGCGGCAGGAACTCTCCAGCAACGACGAAGTTAAGAGCAAACTCTTGGCTCCCAACATGCCAGACTGGTACACGACGGCTGAATGTCCGAAGCGGCCAACCGGCACATTGTCGGTGTCCGTTACCTTTCAGACATGCATCTTCGTCGCTCCGCTGCAGTGGTCGAGCTTTCCCACCTGCATCCATTCCCTTTCTTCCGTGTTAAAGAGATGCAGATCCTGGACACCAGAGTCAGGCAGCTGCAAACAGCACAAGCACCTCGCCGCCAGTCCAAACATGCCTGCCTGAAAACGAGTACGTCCGTCAAAGCCACCGAAAATGTACAGACTTGCCTGATCAAGGAGAGCGACACCACGCGAACGAATAAGTCTTTTAAGTAAAACCAGCAACCAACCTCGAACACCACGCAGGAATGATCTGTTCGCACTGATGGCTTTTGGGCTGCATCAAGACCTGGTAAGAGGTTATGAAGAACACAACTTGACACCTTCATGACGACTGAGACACTTACGGGTCCAGTGAGCTTTGGGAATGTTGAACTCGAAGAGGTCGTTGAAGTAGTCTCCATCCTGCTGGTTCTCGGAATTGTGCTATGTAGAAGCAGGCAGAGTGACCGACTGAAGGCAAAAAACTTTCAAGCGGAAACAAGAAAGCACGAGCCAACAAAAAAGACGGCATGAGTCAACAAGCATGAAGCACAAATCAAGAGAAAAGTCACTTTCGCTTAGGTGAAGGTAGTTAAGGTTGAGTGATCGAAGACCAGTATAAGCTATTTCAATTCAAGTTGACATAGTTGGCTCGGCTTGAAAGTGGTGTGTGTTAGGTTTCAGCAAGCAAGAGACAAGAGATAAGAGTTTAGACATCACAGGCGGCAGTGAGCCAACAAAGCACTCAAGCGAAACCTGAACGCATGAACTCGAACACGCACACGAGGTGTCCGTTTTACGGGAGTGCGATGCCTGAACACAGCCAGAGGTTTGCCAGCCCGGCAGACCGATAACATCATAGTAGCATCCGACGTGCCAGCGCTGCTCCAGGGCGGGCGGCGTCAAGTTTGCAATCGCCACCAGCCGCAAGAAACATAATATACAGTTGCTCGACTGCACACCTGCAACACACACACACACACGCAATTGCAATGCCGGTCTGTGCCGCATGTTGTTATTTTTGTCTTTTCTTTCTCTCGTCGTATGCCATCTTGATCGTTATTCTGCTTTGCTAACTAATTGGTTAATTGAATGATTCTTGGGATCCTTTGTGATTTCACCACTCAGACAATGGACCTAGATTACTGCATCAACAAAGAAAAATCGAAGTGTATTAAAGCCTCAAGGCTTAGCTAGGAGAATCG